GACCTGCTTGAGGAAACTAGAATTTCAAGGGTACATTTCAAAACCCTGTTTCTGTTGATAATAGTGTTCCAGAATTTATATTTATTAATTTTGCTTTATTTTGGTACAACTCCCACAGGAAATCCTGAGGAGTATACGTTTCTGGCATATTTTATCTTAGATGGTTCCATCCCTTTGGTCTTGCATCCTGATTGCTAGACTGAAGTGTACCTTTAAAAGCCTCTGCTCTTTAATAGAGCTGAGGATGACAACAAGCAGGAACTTCAACACTCTAGGAAGACAATCTATCTACTTTCTCCAGTTATCATTAAAATGTCTTTCAGACATAGGTCATAACTGGAAACCTATAAATGATATCTGTGTAGTAAGCACTTCCCACAGAGCTGGAGTCCCAAGTGATTAAAATTTATCACATTGTTCTTATGGTTACAAATACTGCTGATATGTGTCATTACTTAGAAAGTACTGTTCATAACATTTTGATTTTAGTCCAAATAGTTTTCTCTCTGAATTTCCCATAAAACGCTCTTGATCTTTTTTTAAAAGGCCTGATCTGCTTCTCCATTGAAAGAACAAAGAAAAGGGGGTGATTGTTCTCTAGTTTAAATTTTGTTTGGTTTGATATATTTATTGCCTGGTGGGCTGCAGCTAATTTTCCACTGGCTTTTCTGAGAAAGTAATTAGGATAGAACTCAATCCTATCAACATGCAGCGTCTAAGCTCTTTCATGAATTAAAAGTTATGATATTTAGTACGTGGCTCTATTAAAATGATTTGCAACCTTGAGACCTCATATTTGAGCAGTGCTTTGTTTTGCAAAACTTCATGCTTTGAATGCATGCATTTGTTATTTGATTAGACAACAAAGTATACATCAAAATGCTTTCGAGAGAGCCTTTAATATGAAAAGAGTTTGTCAGAACACAGGATAACATGGTAGCCTCTCTTATAGTCTCCTGGAGAACTAAAGATCAGAAAGCTCTTTCAACATGATTTTGCAACCCTCTTGAATTTGCCAATTCCCTTAATTTACATCTTAAGTCTTAAGGTTACCGCAGGGTACCCTCAGACATTCAACTCTTATAAGGTATTTTACCTGGAAGGCATGGATTGAACTGGCTTGTATTTATTGAGAAAATAAGACAGTGAAGATAGCATGCCCCCTGCTTTTCTGCCTAAAAGAACCTGGCTAGACAAATCTGGCTTGAGTATTTGTAACTGACTTCTAAATACTGGAACTATGTGTGCCTTGCAGTAATATTAAGATATCAAGGAAGGAAAGAAAGCAAGATATTAATGGGATTTAACACTAAGAATTTTAAACTAATTTTTATGATTTTGACTCCTAGTTATAAAGAGTTCAACACCATCTCACCATCGAATTTAGCTTACAAAATGTATATACTATTTTACTATAATTTAACATTCTGCATTTTACATTTTCACATAAATTACTATTAAAAGGGGTATTATTTAAATATGCCCCAAAATTTTAAGCATAGTTTTATAAATAAATGGGAAAAAAATAAAAGGTAAGCTTCTTCACTTAGAATTCTGGAGTCAAGAGTATTTGGGGATTATGTAGGCTAGTTGCCAGATCTAGGATTTTTTATTTTATTTTCAAAACAAAATGTACTAGTTATTTCCATTGCTGACATAGTTGGCTCCATGTAACTTTTGGAGAGAATCTCTTTTTGTATAATTATCTTGTAGTTTAAAGTCATTTGTGGTGGGGGAAAAAAGCCAGCTGGTGGCTAACAAGTATGAACTATAGGGGGTGTTGATAGGAAATTTTTAAAAAAATCATAGAATTGATTTTATGAATCTCATTAAAACAAAGTCTAAGAGACTGACTTATTTTGTTGTATGGGTATTTTACAATATCAAATACTCTTGGAAACAAATAAACCATTGGCTGGTACAATACAAGCGTTTTTCACCTAGAGATTTTTCATTGAATGTTTAAGGACTGGAAAGAAACAATGGTACATGAGTGCAATCAATACATAGTTTCTAATTGTAATGGCATTTTACTGCTAATGCACTTTACAAATTGTTTTGATCAAGGTTTTATGTGTATTTGTAGTGATTCATCTTGGCTGTGTATATTTAGAATTATATTGAAAAAGCATCTATGTAGGTAAGACAACCCAATAACCAGAAAAACATGCCATATCACCTAGATACCTAAGCATCAAAATTGAATTGTTCAGTCAATCAACCAGTTGCTTTGTCTATGTGATGACAAAGCTTAGTTGAGTGTTTTTGTTTTTTCTTTGGTAATGTCACTAAATTTTCTGAAATAATTTATTGTTTTAGAAGGTATGCATGCCAGAAAAACATATGTAAATAGTCAAAACATCCTTAAAATTGTGGAATACTAGATTAAGAAGTGATTTAAAAAGTTTTGATCTAGATCCTATGCATAAATGATTTCTCTCCAGCCCCTCCAACACATAAGAGGTGCTAGCCCCCTAATGCAGCCCATTGTACCTACACAAGACTGATTATAAGTAAGTCCACCCTTATATAAAAACTTCTAATTATTGGTCCTTGTATACATTCTACACAAGATCAAATTTTTTCCTCTCTAACAATAAAGCTCTTTTTTTCTCCAGATAAAACATCTTGCCTTCCTCTAGTTTTTCTTCTTTTGACATGGTTTGTATCTATCATCTCACCAAGTACATCTTTTGTTTTTGAAAGCATGCTTTCAAAATGTTTTCAAAAACAGTGTGGTGCCTAGATATAAGCTCAGGAATAAAAAGAAAAAAGTTGTGACCACAGTGGAATGGTGCGTCAAGTTATCACATCCTCTTTAGCAGAGAAAATTTGCTCCAAAATTGACCTAAATCTTATTAAACTTATGGCAGCTCCACCATTCTGTTGACTTATATTGAACTCACTATTACCTAAAAGCTGTCAGTCATTCATTTTCCCAGCATTTTCAACATCAGCTATCTTTCCAGTCAGTTTTCTGAAGCCAGGTACAGGGCTATATATTTATTGCTTATACCTATACAAACTTTATTCAATGAAATTCAGCCCCTTGTCCACCTTGTCAAGCTCATTTGGAACCTGGTGTTGTCACCATCAGGTTCCGTAAAACCCCAGTTTATTTGACAAGATGCCCATCAAACAATTTAAAATAATATCCAGAAGGCAACTCATTCCAATATGTTAAGCTCTAGCACCTAAAAACCATTCTTGCTGAAGTTTAAATCCTTTCCCAGGTAAGGCAAGATCTCAAATAGTCCAAAATTTAAAAAAATAGACTAACTCTTTATCAACTCACACCCTTGATGTTTTTTAAGCAAGAATAGAATGCCTACCAAAGTAAAAGGGATCCAGGGAAACTCAATGAACCAAAGTCATTCATTATAACCAATATCTACTTTTGGTTATTTATCTTGTCTTTATATGAAAGTGATGATGATGAAACTCAGATTGTGTTTATCACATTTAGATTTTTGTCTTTCCTTAACCCCATTTAAAGTGAAGATAGGCTTAACCAAATGACAGTGAAATACCAATTAAATAAAAATGAAACCAACACAAATTCTCTAAGTGAAATAGAATTTTTATATTTAACAATTTTCAAAATATACTTGCTTAATTATGGCTCCCATGGGCTTCATGCCATTGTTCTTTAGACACTGTGAAATAATAAAAACAAAATAATATTGTTGGTAAAATGTAACGATTACCGTAATGTTCCCCAGACACACACACACACACACCAATCATACAAAAAGACGGCTTTACATTTAACTTTAAAATGTGCAATCATCGAAATGCTTGAGTGGCCCCATGTGTAGGAGTGATAGGTCTCACACATATTTATGAGCTGCCTTAAATCCTTTCTTGAGCAAAGTGAAATGTAAATAAAAGACACAGTCACATATTTAATGAGGAGGGAGCAAAAAATCTAAATTGGTATGTAGTCACTGCCCTCACAAACCATTTTATTTTCTAAATGTTATATTGAAATGTTTAGATGCCTCCTTTTAGCTGACATCACCAATGTAGAAGACATGCTACATCATCCAATATCACAGGTACATGGGATGCTGCTAAGCAAGGATATAGTAATCAGGTAGGTTTTTAAATGATCTATTACCCTTAAAAATCTTAATAAATGTGAAACACTACCTGCCATCCATGGAGTCATTCCCAGTTGTCCTCATGGGCAATACCTTCTTCTGTGACTCTGGGAAGAATTCCATGTTTCTGAGTCAGAGCAAGATATCATTGGTTTAGGATTTGCATGGGGATAATACAATTCTATCTGTCTTTCCCCCACACACACATTTAAATATTAAACAGAAAACACATTTGTACCATATATGTGATATAAATGCATCTCCTGGCTTTACTTAATTTTCTCCTCTGTAACCCAAACATTTCCTCCTTTTCTCTTTCCATTTTTGCAGAAAAGAATAATCAGGCAATGATAGTTTATTTGAAACTTTGTTAGAAGTCATTTTATTACATGACTCTTTGAAAAAAAAAGTCATTTTTATTGGAGACAATGTTTTGTTCAATTGCTTGTTGTTTTTAACTAAGTGGCAAAAATCACCTCACTCATAGGACAAACAGATATTCATTAGTAGAGGAATCCTGTTTTTAATCCTTTTTATCCCACATATGGCTAAGACCAGATCTTCCATCTTTAAGCCTCAGTCTAACTTTCTCAGCACCCCTCCCAGTGCTCTCAGCCTTACACATTACACCCCAACAAGGCCCAAATGCACAGCATGACCAGAGTTAGCAAATAAACTAACAGAAAGCCCAGTCAAACTTGAATTTCTGATAAACAACAAAGATTGTGTTGGTGTATGTTCCAAATATTGTGTGGAATGTACTTATATGAACACATTCTTTGTTATCTGAAATTCAGATTTAACTGGGTGCCCTGTATTTTATCTGGCAATCCTGCAAACACATCTTCTATGCCATTGTTTCAAGCCATTTTACACATATTTTTCTCTCTATCTCAGATAACTTCCTGTGCCTTGTCAACATGGAAGACTCAGCTCAGCAGGCTTTTTCTCCTCCCTCATAACATCTTGGTGACGTGCTCCAACCTCAACCCCAGGGAAGCTGATCATTTCCGCCTTTATGCCGCGACTGTGCCTTGTACATATTCAAGTATAACTGAGTCACAAGCTATATCTCACCGATTGTGTGTGTGTCTAGTTATGAGTCACTGGGAGAGAAGGTACTTTGCTCACCTACATTCCCAATGCTGGAAGATAATGGACACCACAGGAGAACTTCCAGGTAGAAGTAAAGCAGAGGGGTGGAGCCAGAGAATACTGGATTTGAGTCCTGGACTCTGCCACTCTGAGTCTATGGACAATGTATTTAGACCTTCAGGGCCTAAAGATTCTCATCTGCATATTTTTTAAATAAAATATTCCTGGCCAAAAATTGTTAAAAATTAAATGAATTTGTTTGTATAGTATAAGGGACCTGTCACCAAGCACAGAGTCACCAAAACAGCTACCTTCTAATGTCACTCTCCTTGTTGAACTAAACATCCTTTCAGAGGTCCGTCTTTTCTTTTTTTTTTCTTGACTATCTGGAGAGAACTTCAATTTCAATTTTTAAATTGTTTTAAAGTCTGTCAAATTGTGGCCTACTGTGTTCAACTTTTAATAAAATATTTTAATTGTTTTGCCAACTTATCCCCAAATTCTGATTTAATGCTTGCTTCTCTGTGTTCTTCCTTTACAATCAAATAGCACTTCCAATCAGACCATAAAAAAAGAGCAAAACTCGTCTCCCAAAAGCTTGCACAGAAAAAGAGTTTCTAAAAATTACTCTTGTCTCATCTGTCTGACTCACATTTATCTAAAAATAAAAGGAAAACTAGGAGAAAAAATAAACGAACAGAGGATAACGTGTAGCCTCATGTCTCTAAGTCAGATAACAAGATAATTTTTCTGTGTGCTCTATATTTCACTTTACTTTCCAAAATGACCTTTCCACCCCCAAGCCCTATCACTAGAATATAAATCCATTAATGAGGAATCTTTTCTTCCCCTGTCCTTTTTCATATCAATCTCAGCAGGACACTGGACTGTGCTTTGAGTTCATTCACTTTATAGCCATTAAAAAGAAAATATAGTCTGGAGACGGCCTGTCTCCAATTGGTTAAGCACAGGATGAAGAAATAAATTCCTGAGTTTCTAGCTTTCATCTACCACTGGTTTTCTAGGCAAAACCCAAGGAAGTTTCCAAACCTTTCTCTTTTTTTTCTTTTCTTTATTTATCTATGAAATAGGTGAATCATTTTAAAAAATATCTCCTTCACATATGCCATTTTTAGCAGAAAATAAAAAGCTCTTAAAATATTAGTGTTTATGGTTAATGTCTTTAAAAATAGGTTTGCTTGACTTTGGTCTCACAGGAATTAATTCCATTGCTCATTAGATGCTGTATAATAATAATCATAAAATGTGATGATTGCCATAACTGTCCCTAAAAGTACATACATCCAAAGCTAAAGAAACTAGAAGAATCACTGAGAAAAATAGAGAGAACCTCAGAGTAAATTAACATATATCATCAGAGATACCTATAGGGTGGTGCCAATTCATTCAATCATCTGCTTATTAATTCATTAAATGTTTACTAAGAATATACTATGAACAAAGAGTTCTGTGACAGACTTATTCTGAGTTTCATTTCCTTAATTCCCTAATGACAATGGGACTGTGCTAGTAAAATATATTAAATATATTGGGTTGTCGAAAAAGTCATGATGTATGTTTTTCTGGTTTTCATTGCAAAAATGCATCATGACTTTTCCGACAACCCAGTAACTCAGGGGTTGGTTAATAGTTTAATGTCCCTAAATTAATCTTCTAATAATTTTATTAATGTTTACCCTGAGCTTTGCTGCCTCTCAGATAATATCTGAATTTTTAGAGCCGCATTTCCTTCTCCTGAAGACTCAAGTAACTTTCAATCTGCCCCGTGCATACCCAGTGATATTACTCTGCAAAGTGTAGGTTTCCTCCACTATCTGAAAGTAGAGGTTCCTTTGAAAGAAACCTTTTGTAAACAAAAATGGCATAAAACAAAGAAGCAATTATCATTAATTTATATGGAAAAATTTTTTAATGTTCTCAGAACCAAAAACTAACCTACTAAATCATATCAAATATGCTTAACAACGTCCAGTTTTACACTAAGTGTAACAAACACCCTTAGGCTTTTCTGACCTTAGGACACATCTTGCTAATGGAGGCACCAAATAAACCGAGATAAAGCACAGATGCTCACAGACACAGTTCAAAGCTATGGCAGCTTGATGCTGAGATGCTGATTGTGGTTCCCAGGGAAGGAGCCTGGTGATGCCACTCTTGCTGCCAGGGTGCCACTGCCTCTGTTAACAGCTCACTAAAAAAAACAACGCTGAACGGTGTTATTGCTTTTCACCTTTTTTTTGTAAAAGCTAAAAACATCTTCAGATTTCTTTTAGGTCAGCAAAAACAGATGCTAATGTAGGTCTTTCATAAAAGACAAGTGGCATAATGCGGACTTTCCAAAAGTGAGAGGATACCTGAAAACTATGAAGCAGTTACTGAAGACTTCCAAGACCTTCCTGATCTGGAAACTGTATGATATTAAGAGTCTGTAAGGGAGCAAGCTAACCAAGTCACCTAGTTTTTAGAGAGCTTAGTGCTGACCTGGCTCCAATGTCTAACAACAATATCTGTGTTTGCCTACTATGTGCAGTGCTGTAGTACATTTCTCCCTCTTCCAGGTGGACACCATACATATAAACCTACTGTGATGAAAAACTCAAAAGCTTTCCCAGAATGTCTATTTGATAACACTGAGTGAGACATAACCCATACCAACCAAGAAAAGGTGAACAATACTTTGAGATCCAGATTCTAAGGGTTGCATGGGTATCTTGTGTAATTAAACTTAGAATTGAATTAGGGTGTGTACTTAGATTTTAAAAGAAGAAACAGAATTTGTGCAGGTACATAAAACTCTTTGCGCTTTCCTAGATGTAGCTTTTTCAAGATGGCTTAATAGTTTGATCAGGGGGACTACATCCATGCATATAATCTGGAATGGTGAATTGTGGTCTTCCCAAAAAGGTCTTACCAGCACACAACCTCAGAGACACATACAGAGCTGAGAGGGAGAAAGAGTAAGACCCATAAATGCCATAGCTCTGTCATCTCACATCTAGGTCAATTTCTTTCAATGAAGGGAAGGCGAGATCTTGAGATAACAAAACTTTACCCATGAATATCTCAGCAGGCTACCTTGAAAATCCAGCACAGGTAACCCTGTGGCATGGAGAAGTCTCTGAAACCAGTGTGAACCACGTTGCCTATCAATTATTTTGCATGCAGGAACCACAAACGTAAGATCTCACATTCTAGTCCTACAAGAGCAATCGTAGTGAAATTCAGGCAGACATTCTGAAAGAAATGACATACACTTTCACCATACTGTTTGAAATTTTTGGAATAAGCATGCATCATTTTTACAAAGACAGTAAAAACACTATTCAAGAGAAAGGAGGAGGAAAGCATGGAAGGCAGGGAGGGAGGGAGGACACACTTCGCCGTCTTAGAATTGGTAGTCATAAAGGAGGCTGTGGATTGCAAGACTGGGGAACACAACCCAGTGCTTTTAACCCCGTGGCTTTCTGAAACACTTCCCAATTTCTGAATCCTGATGCTTGATCTCTGAATCCTGCAGCCGTAGAGGTTCGTGTAGGAACCTTAGATCAGCTTCCATCTTCCCTTAGTTCCTGACGCATTCACTTTGGGTGCTGCACAGAGAGCCCTGGAGAGGAAAAAGAACTCCCTCCAGATTCAGAGGAATGCTGAGAGGGTTCTCAAAGCTTCCTGCACTGATGGGAAATAATCATTCTTGACAGGTTCCTCTCTCCCTCCAGAGGCTCGTGGTTCTTTGTAGACACAACTGAAGAGATTGAACAATTCCTCCCATATTTCCAGGTCAGGAGAGCAAGCCCAGAGTTGTTCAGGTATTTACAGAATGCCTAACCGGCACAAAACATAGTACTTGGCACTCTACAGATCCAAAGAAATAGAAGATATTCACCGGGGCAGGGAGAACATATAAAGTGAAAGCTGGATGACAAATTAGCAGCAATACAAGAGATTTCATGAGGTTATTGCTAAAAGCAACTGTACAGATCATGAAAGCGCTCTTGACCAATGTATTGTATTTAATAATCTACACTGCTTTCTTTAAAAATGAATTTATCAACATCTGTTAAATGCACCCATACACACACGCACACAATCACCAGTCTGTTAGAATAAAATTTTTTAAAAAATAATCAAAGTTATACAATGTATGAAGTTTAACTAATTATAGGGAAAGCAGAGATTAAGAATAGATGGCATTTGTTGAGCACAGTTACTGTTCCAGGTACTGTGCTAAGTGCTCTAAATGCATTTGCTCTATTAATTCTTGCAACAAATTAAGTGGATAGGGATTATTACTATTTTATATCTGAGGAAACCAAGACTTAGAAAGGTTTAAGTAATTTGTTTAAGATGTCAAAACTAACCCATGTTTCTAAAGACTTCAGTAATATATTAGAGAACTGTGGTCAACCTTGTACATGTATAACACTAGTCTGTTCTTAGGGAACTGAGTGTTTCAAACAAACTCAAGAGTGCCTAGAGTGAGTTTAATTATTCATGTGAAAAACAATTATTATAAGAAAGACGCGAGTATGTATTGGCAAACTGGCTAATAAATAGGATTAGCTGAGGAATTTTTTGGTGGAAATGGGCCTTGGGAGCAATTTGTAAAGAAAAACATATGGAGAGTTCATTTAAATTTTGTCATTAAATTCTTATCAAATACTTAATATTGTAAGTCCCTCCCTTTGATGATAATAGTAGACATATGAACAAGAGATATAATTAGCTGACTTCATGGAGCTAATGTAGTCCAGTGTGAAGTGATGGGATGGCGGGAAGGAGAAGAGGAAGGAGACAGACAACACAATGTGAAGCAAGTCCTGCTACGAAGATGTGAACAATCGGATGTGGAAGAACAGGGCTGGAACCACACGGTCCATCTGTGAGGCGGTTCTAGTTGATCTGGGCCTAATAGATTGGCAAAGCTTGCCTGAAAAGTAAAGGATGGGGGGCCTTTTTGTCAGAGAATGTAGGTGCTGCACAGAGAGCCCTGGGGAGGAAGTGCATGAACTTTATGAGGCCAGGTTTTCTGTCTGAGAAAAATTAAGCACTTCTAAAATGGAGCAAAGCCTGGAGCTATTTAAGGTAAGCTTGGCCACAGCCTGCTGGAACTAGGGAAATGGGGGAAAGGCAAGACCAGTTAGAGCAAAAAGAATTGTTAAGAAATATGGCTGACCATAGGGAACCAGGAGAACCAAATGCTTGTCCTTTTTTAGCTCAGAAAAAGGTACAGTTCATCTACTTGTTCAACCCAGAAACATGCATATGTCCTTCCACGTCCTCATTCCTGACATCTTATTAGTCACCAAGTTCATCAGTTCTGCATCTGAACTTCTCTCCTGT